CTGCCAGCTCACTGACTGCTCCTTACCGTAACCGCGGCCCATACGATAGTCTGTCACCTGTCATGTACGTTATACAATTCAATGCTTGAAGTTGAATCAGTTTGAAAGGAGACGGCTATCCCAAGTAGCGTCTGGGAATAGGAAGAATAAAATGAGTGGCAAGCCCACCTTGTAGGTTTTGGGATTTTCCGCATCCTGCGGTTTGTTATTCAGTGCTTTCTGAAACAAGGAATCATGTGAAGCGAAAAAAAGCATACAGATCAAAGAAATTGTATAAGGCTATAATTGGAATGGTATGACTTTTAAAGTTCAAGATCAATAAGGATAAATTCTTTTCTATTCACTTTCTCGAGACGCAATGGGTTTTTCAAAGTAGAAGAGAGAGGATCAAAGTCAAAAAAATGTTTGACAGATAAGTTCAAGAATAGCCATGCTTTCTTTAATTTCCCAATTCAAAGCCCTGATATCTATCAAATCTACTGATTAACAGTAATTGAGAAGGCTTTACAGACTCTACCTGTCTGCGCCACGTTCAACCATCTCAACAAATTTCAAAGTAATGTTAACTGCGAAAGATGATTTATTTCATGCTGTTGGCGGCTCCCTCTTTTGCATTTACTATCAAACCCAGTTGGAGGAACCTCCCCGTAAGTTGACAGAAGTTTTATTTGAATCCACTGACGGCATGTTAACATTTAGAGATTTGTGGCAGCTGACCAACGTCTTGGTAATCGGTACTATATTCATGTCGATAATATCGACAACAAACCTATATTTAAATCAATAGCTGCTTAGTAAGTTTCAAAACAACCCTCTCAAAAAATATTGTTAAGTAGGTGCGCCCATTTCAGCTGATTTTAGAAGTAGGGCTCATATTTGTATTATAAAATCTGTGCTCCCCATCTGCGAAACGGTTCCTGGGACAGAAAGACATGAAAGAGTTAAACGTAGATTAGCAAGCAATGATCTCAATTGGTTTTATGACCCAATGATAAGTCTCTCGTGTATCAAAATAATACGCCCATTTTCTCCCCAAAATGTCGCTTTTCTACATTTCTGCAACTGTTCGCAGTTAAGAAATGGTTGTAATCGCCAAGAAACCACTAGTACAGATTGACAAACCGTACTGCTATTTATTTAATTCACTATCATTAATTGAGCTACTCATTTTCAAAAGTTTGAAAAATTCAAAAAATCAAAAAGTTGCTGCACATTCATTGCCTCAAAAATTTAGTCCACATTGTAACCAAAATGGTACTTGATGAAGGGTGCTCAGGAGTTCCGAAAGCCTAGCCGCTTTTCCTTAGAGCGAGTTCAGGCGACTGGAGGAAAACAACACCGCCCAAGCGCTACGCTCTGGCTTCGCCACTGCTCCCCATACTGTTTTTACTAAAATATCTACTGCACATTTAGATGTTACTGTAGTGTGCCATACCGTAAGATTCGTCTGGACGAGCTAGAGCCTAACACCGCTTTCTTTTTTAAAAATATCTATTTTGAAAGAAG